CCAAAAAAAAAACAAAGTATCAGCAGGCTCCACATCACAAATAGACCAAAAAAAAAAATCATCCAGAACATCAAGAATTCTCTTGAAATAAAGAACTGTGATGTCAATTCATTTCACTACAAGAGAGTTAGGATTTTTAAATCAGTATCATCCATGTTTCCAGTTATGCCACAGAAGCCAACAAAAAAAGCAATTGTTAAAGATGACAAAGAAAGCTTTCTTCAGAAAATGATGGTGCATAAAATGCTTGATGCCAAAATTCTGTCAAATAATTTATGCAGCAGCTGTTTTCAAAAGAAACATTCATACACACAGCTATGGGTCCGAGGTCAGGTGAGGATGGGATAGAAGGCTTGAGCAGGATGCTTGGCTGGTGGAGAACCAGCACTTAAAAGCAGAATCCCTATCTGACAGCTTAGGGCCTTCTCCCAGAAGCAGTTCTCCCAGCAGCATCTCTCCTAAACTCAAGCAAAAGGTTCATCATCTGTTTTCCTGAATAGAGATGGCAGAGACCACAGAACTTTAGCCACAGCAATATAACTCATTTATTTACAGGAACTTATTTAAAATTAATATACTTTCACTTTGCAAAGTCTTATACCATTCCATTTTTTGTGGTACCTAAAGGTTTTAGATCTTTCGGGAGGCAGCAATAGGTAACTTAGAGGCCACTGTACCTGACTAACTGGTCTCAGATTTCTACAGAAACACCTCTCCACTCCATAGGAGTCTGTGAATGCCTGCAAGGCAATCATCTTTCACACTAACAGCTCCCTAATGACACACTTGCTGCAGTCCCACAAAGCAGTTCATTTGCCACAGACTTTACTTCTGCATACATCTTTTTCAGACGGACACAGAGATCGCCCACACAGTTGTCTGCAATATAAGCAAACCATGGGGGAACTAAAATAAGACATTCATCTCACAGAGAAAAAAAAAAAGAGAAAAAAAACCCCAAGAAAAATAAAAAGCTGAATTCTATACCTAATATGTAATAATTGAGATTTGGCGAGTGCTAGATATCACATGCAGAGTTTTACATATCAACTTTTTTTTGAGTACTGTATCTTTCCCTTCCTAAAACCACTATTTTCCCCAATCCTCCCTTCCCTGAAATACCCAAGATAGGCTTGCTGTACCTGAAAAATAACTGCAGTATAACTAGTACAACTGTTACACATTCAGCGTATTTATAGGAAAACACATTTTGAAGAGTGAGGTATTTCTTCTAAACTGGAGTTCCTGAGAACCTCAGAAGCACACTTGGCAGTTGCCAACACAGCAGTTCAACTAAAAGCAACACAGACCAGTCAAAGAATATTCATGCAATTCTTGCAGTTTTGCCAGTTAGTAAACTGGTACATTTTAGACATGCCATACAGTTTACATACAGTTAATATTTATTAAGTTTAATCTTATTTATTAAGTATTTAATGTATTATATATTTTAATATATATGTATTATTTTATCATAATATTATATTATTTCGTTCATTTAACCTATTTATTAAGTATTAATCTTCACTTCAAGTACCCGCAACTGCACTATTTGAAACAACCCTAAGATTCTGAAGAGTCCTACAATGACGAGATGGTCAATCTTACCACGTATATCCCATCATGCACCAACAAAAATGGAAATTAAGAATGGAAACTGATGGAAGTACTGTTGTTTCTAAGCAAAATAAGCCTTTCTCTAAAAATACTGTTAGCAGAGAAATACAACATAACTGAAATGCAGGGTATAATGCCATCTCAAGCCATATTTTCTGAATGACACTGTTGAGTCTCTTAGAACTAGTTCCATAACATAAAGGAAACTTATCAATGTGAACTGACCCCTCACATCATTCTTCATATACAGTAACTAGAGTTATTAAACTGAAATGGTCTAGTATAAAGATTATTAACTCCCTTTTTGGGCCAATGTAATATTTCTTCTTCCTTGTACTACATGACTTGAATGTTTCATTTCACAGAGCGATTTATAAATGTCTAAAGCAGAAAGAAAAAAATTTAATTCAAACTACACCCAAAAATTAGCCTACTGCTACAGTTAGCCCACTAATGCAGCTCTTCCTTGTTGAAAGGAAAGAGTTCACCTAGGCCCCCCCTCAGCCCTGGAGTAAACTCGCTGAGCATGCAAGATACACTGAGTGCTGCTTTAATGGGTCAGTATCTTTCAACAATCAGTACTTTCTTCAGAAGTTTGTATAAAGCTTTGTTTACATATACAAACTTGAAAATCCTCCCTTTCCTCTACTCCCACAGACTCCTAATGCAATGCAAAGTGATAGGACAGCTTTGATGTACTTAGCACATCCAACAGAAAGACATAATGCCTTAAACAATTTTCCTCTTCACCTCGGTCAACAGAAGTGCCCCTTCTCAAAAAGCAGAGTGAGACTGTTGGAGAAGAAAGGCCATATACCTATCCTAGCAAAAGTTAAAGGAACTTTCTTTACAAGGAACTGCCTTCTAGTGTCATAACCTCTACACTTTTTACCCCCCCCAATTTTGTTCCTTGTAGGTGGATCCATATCCTCACCCTCTTTACAGCTTCACCCAATGTTCTGTGAAAGTTTTTTTCTGGCAGTTCTACCACCATCAAGCGCTGCAACGCTCTCTACTGCAACGGCAGAAATAGTCAGACCAGAACTCTTTCTATCAACTCTACAAACACTTTTATACTTTTTTTTTTTCAGTCAGCACTCAAGGAAAACTCTCTGGACAGCTCCTGACCTGTCACACCACGTCATTTTCCATGCATTTTCTAAAGCTGTTCGTTATACTTTTGTTCTCCAGTCTCCCAACCTAATAGAAGAGCCGTGCCGCTTCAGGACAAAGCTTGGAAATATGCCACTGCCTTGCAATTGCCATTTGCTGGGATGTTGCTTATCTGGGAACATTGCACTGACTTGCAGTTTATTTTTCTCACGGTCCCTCTCACGCTAAATCAATAGATCAATAGAGGTAAGTCTTACAGTCCAATAAACAGTTACTACTTGTCCCATCTTTAATGATTAAAAAAACTACTCGATCGCAGCAGCCATAACGCTGCTGCGCTCCATCCCCACGTCCTCCCTCGTGGCACACGTTGCCCGGCAGCGCGGAGCCAACGCGCTATCTCGGAGCTGACAGCAACAACGGCAGCTCCACAATCTTCCGAACGCGTCAGGGGCCGTGCACGCAGACGCATCCCCAAAGCACTCCTGTGGCACAAACACAACGGCAGGCACCTCTGATGAAAGCGAAACGAGAGCGAGATGCACGTCTGAAGCCTGACAGAAACCAGTCACAAAGGCAGAATTAATTAAAACTCAGAGCCGCCACTCCCATGACTCAGTTTAAAAAACTGAATCTTTCTAAAAGCCTGTACCAAAAAGAGGAACATGAAATACTTGTCTAGGGTGTTACATAGACTGGAAAAGACAGCTTAATAGCACCTTATAACTGAAGTGATTAGTTGTGTTGGCATAGAGTCCAAAGAGGTTTTCTTTTTCCACGTTCAAATTAAGAAAACTGACAAAAGAGAAGCAAATTCCACCAAGCTGAAACTAAAACCTCTTATCTGCGCTAAACTTTAAGAGACAAAGTTAATTACAAATGCCTACGACTCGTACAACACATTAATCCATTCAAAAAACAATGCACAAAGGCTCATTCAGGGCCGCTGCACCCATTACGTCGGTCAGTACTTAAGGACTCTTAAAAACGCGCATTTGTCGAAAACAATAGACAGCAACAGATGCTCCACAGCACTTGTTTATGAAGTAATTCCTTATTATTCCCCCGCACCGCCGCAGTCAGCCGACCCGACCCGGCTGCCACATGTCTCCTCCGGTGTAACCTCCGCGCCGCGCCGCGCCGCCCGGGGACATCAATAATGCACGGGGGCTGCGCGGGCCGCGGGCGCGCTCCCCGCACAGCCAAGCGAGCCGGGGGTCGCCGCCCGCGCCCCGCTCTCGGCGGAGGCGGCGGGCATCCGCACAACACGGTGCGAAGCCTGCGGAACACTGCCGCTGCAACAGTCGCGCCGGCTGCCCCTCCCCACCAAGAGCTCCTGGGGCGGGCTCCGCTCCCCGCGCCCGCGCTGCCGCCCGCCGCCCCGCCGGCAGCCGCCGCAGCCCTCGCTCCCCACGCTCACCTGGGGCTCCGCTCCTCCGCGGCGCCGGGCGGAGCGGGTGGACGAGCGCCCGCGGGCAGGGGTGCGCGTGGGGCGCGCGCTCCCGCACACGCGGGGGCAGTGTGTCCCGCCCGCCGCCCCCTCACAGCGGGGACAGGAGGCGCCTGCGGGGCCGCCGCCGCGCTGTTCGGCGGGCCGGGGCGCGGAGCGCGCGGGCATGTGGACAGCTCCGACAAATATGGCGTGCGAACCGCCGCCGTTCGGCATTTTACCCCCTATCAGATGTGCTCCTGCCGCCCGCATGCGCACAGCGTGGGCGCGGCCGGGCATGCCGCGGCGGGCGGCACGAAGCTGGCTGCCCGGAGGGGGCGGGGGTGGCGGCGATGAGGGGCTCGGTGCCGCGGACGGGGCCCGGGGCGCGGGCCGCGCTTCTGTGTCGGGGGAGCGGTGAGGGGGGGACAGGGAACTCCCGTGAGGAGACCTCAGCGAGGCGCCACTCTGTGAGGCGGCGTCCTCCGCACCGAAACCTGCGGCGCTCCGGTGGGAGCGGTGCTCGGGGACCCCGCAGAACCCGCCCGATCGCGGCCCTGGCCGTGTGATGTGTGTGCCTGTGCCCGCTGCTCCAGCGGCACAGCTGCCCTCTGGAAACTCCCTGCTCGCCTGAGTGAGGAGGGGGTGAGAAGAAGGGGCTCTCCCGTTAACGCAGGGCGGCGGGAAAGGAAACGTCGGTGAAGCCGAGTCAGGGAGGAGGCAGTCGGCGGCGTGGGTGTTTCCCGTCCGAAGCCCGCCAGAAATAGTGCCGCCTTTTTGGCAGCGTTCGCTCAGGGGGCGCGGTGGGAGGCGGGGTGTGTGGCCAGATGAGAAGGCACGGAGCTGGCGATGCCACCAGTCCCGGGTGCAGCGGGCAGGAGCGGGGCTCGGCGTGTGCTGAGCCAGGGCCTGGGAGGGGTCGAGCTGCGATGACTCGAGAGGGATACCTTCAGGGTAAGAGCATGCAATACAGTTTGAGTGGAGAGCACTGACCCTCTTCCCCTCCTCCATCTCATCGCAGTGATGGGACCCTCTCTCCTTTTTCCATCACTCCCTTGTGTGAAACAGTTGTACTGGGGGATGGGATCACACTTTTTTTTTTTTTCATGCACATATATTCAGTTTTTTTGTACGCAGTCCCAATGGGGATGGAGAAGAAAATAGTAGTAAGGAAAATCCTTCTGAAGGACAGAGAGGTTGAGGCAATCCCAGCCCTCACTGTGCTTTTTCAGTTTATTTTTGTTTTCAAGAAAGTGAAGGTGCTGCTTGAGCTCAGTGGCAACCCAACCAGGGAGGCCAAACAGCAAAGCTCAGTGCAAAGGGATCCACTTGAGCTACCAACTCTGAGTCATGCAGCTGCTATTAATACACCTTGCCCTCTGGCTGTCTGATAAAGAAAGGTTGGGGGAAGAACTATGAGGAATTTTCAATTAAAGACTGCTTCCGAATAAAAAAGAACATTCTAAGATGAATTTGCGGTGGGGGGAAGGGGAAGAAGAGGGGATCAGCCTGGCAAACAAGGAATAATCTCCCAGAGAATCTGTGGGAGCCTCACTGACAAAATTTTTTTAATTATTTGGACAAAACTTAAAGAACATTCCAATAAAGTAGATGACTACATAATACAAACTATGGTGAAATGAAATTGAGTTATATAACCTTGAATTTAATCACTTCTAGAGACATTTAATGAGTTTAATCTATGATGATTTTGTGCATTATATTGTATATTTGAAACAGGCATTTCTCTCACAGTCATCATCACAGAACTTGAACATCTCAGTCTATTAAAGGTATGTTCAATTTCCTGCCATGGACTAAAATTTCATTTCTAACTTTGTTTGTGTCATTTTGCTCCAAGGAAGACGTGACAATGACTAATTCCTCCTTCTTTCTGTTCTTCATTGTGAAGAACATCCTGGCATGAAATAGAATATTTTGCAGTATGTTACTCTTCTAAGTGTAACTTAAGTGTAACTTGCAGCCTCTGCAGTTACACAGTTTCACTGACCAGCCACTATTAGTATGCAACCTACAGTTCAGACGGCCTTTTCTGCAGGTCAGAATAAGGGAAACGAAAAAAACAAACAAATCCCCAGGAAAACAAACCCTGTTTCACTCAGCCACCTAAATAAATTAACTATGATTCACTGCAGTGCACAGATAAAATGTGTTTGCTTTAGTTGACCGAACTAAAGGCTTGCTTTTCTTCTAAAACAGTCTGTTCAAAACTAGCTCAGCTATAGGACTATTCCACTAGGGCCCAGTTTCTTTACTAGTGTTGATAGCATGAGGAATAAAGTTCCTTTCAGTTCCTGCATTATCACCGCAGGATATGCTTTATCTCTTATCCTATTACATGGAGAATATTATTGCTCAAAAATGTCAAGATAAATAATGGCCTTATCTTCCTTGTCAACAGTATAATGTGATTTCCTTCTCACCTTGCTTCCTTAACAAGGTGTAAAATTGCAGTTTGTGTGATAAAAACAGGGCAGTAAAAACAAAAGTGTAGTTAGAGATCGTGTTCTTTGTAGCCATGAAAATGAAACTAAAGAAAGAGCTACAGGCAATAAAAAGAGCTTTCAGATACCCATATCAACTTAAATTACACAGTTCTTTAAGAGGCAGGTTATAAAGATAAAGGTAATGATAAGAATGCCTTAACTGCAAGACATAAAAGTTTATCTTCCAGCAGTAATGCCAAAACACAGCTCTTCATTAAAAACCGAATTTTAAACTTTCATTGCCCAATCTGAGAAATCAATCCTAGAATCCCTTTTGAAAGTAAAGATTTCTGGGCAAATGCTTCTCCAGTGCATCGCAAAAGCATAAAGCAGTCAATAAAGACCTAGTCTTCACTGTGTGTTAGAATCTACTTTCAATAAAGCTAAATGTAGAGTTCAAGGGGCATTTACTAGACAAGGCATTTTGGAAAGGAGAACTAAGAAGAAAAATCACCATCAGGAATTTCTGATTATTTTTTTTTTTAACTTTAAATGGTATGAAAAACACCTTTACTTTATCCGCTAATTCAGTTAAGATTTATGCCATCAGCTAGGATAGAAGTATAGTTCTGCCCCTAACGTGGAAAGCTATATGTGGACTTAGTCTACCAGCCTGGAAGCTAGCCACTCTGGGAATATTTATGTGTATGACTCAACACACATGTACTCAGCTATTAATATGTTTACAGAAACAGACCTTACGTTGTCTAAAATTATTGCAGGGTAATTTTACTATTACTAATTGTATGGTGTAAAACCAAATTGTATTTTTGTTTGTTAATATTTGAATAACAATAAAAGGATATGTTGCCTTAATGGACATTAAGTGTATTTATTTTTCCAACAAGTATGTTACGTTTCCTTTTAAAGTCTGCAGTAGCAACAAAGGGAATTTAAAGAATTTTGCGGTCATTAGATGAATCCAATTCACAGATATTTTAAATATTTGGTGAAGTTAAAACAAATGTCTGAAGTCATAGTTTTATGTCTGTTGTTAAATTCGTCTGTCATTTAAAATTTAATGTATCTAATTCCAAAAATTATTTTTCATGCATGGTATTAAAAGACCAGATTTCAATAAAAATAAAAGGCTTCCAGTAGCAACACTGAGCATTCCAAATTGCCTTTATTGCATGTGTATATACAGTCTCAGCTTTGATCAAGTTCAAAAGGCAAAATATGGTATGACCATGGGGGAGTTGTCTTTTTCCTTTCTGAAAGACCATAGGTGTGGGAAGCTTACCTACGTGTCCTCCAGGGCCATGGTCCTGCACTTTGGCAGCACCTCAACAAGCCTCAGCTCCAGTGAAGAAGTCAGGGAGTCCAAGTCTAGCACTCCTTGGTTCGATAATTAGATAGCACGAGTGTTTTGATGGAGAACAGACCTAGTGTGCAAAAAGAAGGGGGATTCTGCCTCCTCAGTGGAAACATGCAGGAAACAGAAAACACCTGAAAGCCTGACCAAAACACCTGGCAAACAGGGGGCAGGAGAATCTACGGAAGCGCAGTGCTGGCAGCTGGCTCAGTGTCAGGCCATTCTACCTGCTCATTTAATAACCCAGCTGGAGAGGCTTAGGCTCTAACATCGACACTGTAACCTGGCTGGCCAGCAGACACCTTTACGCTTGAAAATATGAACCGTTGTTTGCAAAAGTCTTTTCCTGCTGCCCAATCAGTTCCTGCAGGTGGAAGATTAAAGGGGAACATTGTTTATCTTGATGACTGTGCCCACCAGAAGCCCAGCGTTGGGCTGAGTGAGAAGCCCAAAGGCTTTACCACTGATCATCTCTCACACAGGATGACTTCTTCCAGTGACACATTTTTGTTTTTCTCTTGGGTATTTAGTCTCTGGTACTACAGCAAAGATACCACAGTGGTGTCAGCCTCACTCAGGGCCAAATTTTAATACCTTTTCTGCTCAAGACAGGAAGTAACAGAATCACTTGTAGAAGAGTGTGGTTTTTTAAGTGCCAAATATGGATCTCAGCAGTTCATTCTAAGTGAATCAGTATTTGCATCTCTGTGGTAATAATTTGCTAATTTAATTTTTATACGCAAAGTGTGTGTTACACAGCCCTTATCTTCCATCTATTATTTCTCACAGAATATTCAGAGTTGGAAGGGATTCACAAGGATCATCAAGTCTAAATCTTAAATGAATGGCCCATACAGGGGATTGAACATGTGACCCTGGCATTATGAGCCCCAAGTTTTAACCAACTGAGCTAATCTCAATGACCATTATAATTTTATGATTTGTTTCTGTAACTTGGTAATTGCACAAGAGGCAGGTTAACAAATAAAGCTGCTTGCAATTAAGATTGGGGCAGGCTGTCTGATCACCTGTATCCGAGATGAGACAAATCAGCTCATGTCACCGCTCTTGTGTCATGTCACCCAAACATGCCTCTTCTGATACATAAGGTTGTCATCTAACAGCTGACATTTAGCTGCAGTTCCTGCTTCTGTCCACTTAATGTTTTTATCTTATCATAGTTATAATTATAATGACAAGTACAAGTTGTTCCACAGTGACAACATTGCTTTTTTAGTGACAGCGTTTATTTTGGTTATAATGTGGTAGCTGAGTCCTGCCCATAGCATTGGAAATCAAAGCAATGATGGAGGTATTCCCTTCAGCAATATAAAGTATTTACAACAAAATTCAATAGTATGTAAGATACTAAGCACAGTAAAAGGCACCAATCCAGACAACAACTTTTTTAATTAAACTATTTCTGGGGGAAAAAAAAGAAATATGGTTACCAAGGAATTGGATACAAGTGTTTGAAAACCTGAAAAGCATATACAACTTTTAGAACCAAAGCAAATGCTTTTCAGTGGTTTTGTTGTTGGTTTTGTGTTCTGGGGGGTTTTTTGTTTCTCCTAAGGTGCATGTACACTGTTCTGCAATACAGCCATACAACTTTGTGAATAAGTAAAATAATAATAAAAAGTAAAGCTTTTTACTAGGAATCCATCGCTGAAGTATTTTTAGGTCCTGAACCCTTCTAATTTTATTGCATTTACTTGCTTCTTTATCAACAAGCAGAAATAAGCAAAACTGTAGGAGTGTCTAGAACTTTTCAACTATATTCTTAAGTCTTTGTCATCTCCTAGTTTTACCAAAATGGACATGTCAAAATAGAAGTATATATTTCCCCACAATTCTAGCCTTTTTTTAAGATGTGAATTTCCTGGAATATTTATATATATGGAGGGGAAGGAAAAAAAGAGTGAAATTGATGTAGACCGTTCAGAACTGTGTTTTCTGGATATGGGAAATTTTTGGTGGTATGCCAGTAGCATCACAAAAGATGAAAAAATGCCTGCAGAACTAAAGGAAACACCTCATCACCTCTTTAAGGGGATATTCCAAAAACAGTCTGCCCAACCCATTTTTATGAAGAAAATGTTTTAGTTAGAAGAAAACGGATGGCAATTTTTACCAAAGTTGTTTTCAGCTAAACCTTAATCAGGAAGCTCTGCTTTAAAAAAACCAGCAAAAACTCCAAAATGTCTCATCATTAACCTTACATAAAGAGATAGAGACTAAATACAATTCCTCTCTTTTTTTTTAATGAAATCACTGCCTTATTTCAGAGTTAATCTGTTAGTACTGAGTACAAGTTCTTAAGTCCACAGACATTCTAAACTTCTGAAGGAATTCAGGAACAAAAAGACTGAGCTGATATTAGCGAAAGCATGTGTCATAAAACCCAGATACAGCTCTATTGCTGAAGTGGATACCCCCACAAGTTGATTTTTTTTCTCACCTCACAAGCATAGCAAGTGAGAAATGTATCAAGGCACTTCATTTGCTGAACTAGAATAATATCAAAGCTTTATCATCAGCACACCTACAGAGATGTAATTTGGAGTCTTGAAGGTAATTTAGCCCTAAGAGGGCACATACTCTTGCAGCAGCTATGTTGCAATCAAACCTTATCAGAATAAATCACCCTTAATTGAAGTTCATCAAAGAGAAACAAGGTAGGAAAAGGAGAAAGGCAAGATAATTCTAGGATGCTAAGATCTTCAGTGTGCTGTGTCTCCAAGTATATTTTTAAAAGCTGCTTCTTTTTCATTTTCACTGTGTATGAAGGAAGCCTGAAAGATTTAAGAGTATTTATTTGCTTTAGAAAAAACATTAAAAGACACAGTCTTTGGCTATCCTTAAGGATACCTCAAAGGCAGTTGAAGAACCAGGTGGGCTACAATATTACAAGTACCAAAACAATGACATATGATTAAATTGAAATGGGAAATTAGTCCCCTTAAGGATC